TTGTCGCGCGACCTCGCTCGGCAGGCGCTTGAGGATTGAATGGCTCGTCAGATGCGGGTACCGCTCCATCGCCGTCTTGGCGGTATGCCGCGTGCCCGCTAAGACCTCGCGCCAACGCGCGACCTTCGCCTCCATCGCCTGCTGCGTCGGCTAAATTCTGGCTCCAAGAGCCCCGGGCAGAAGCCCGCGCGTCGACTTGAGAGTCGACGAGGGTCTTGTGGATATTTTCTGGAGCGCCTGGCGAGCCCAAAATCGACGACATGATCTCCGCCCTCCTCGCCATCGCCTGCATCGCCCACGCCGTCCGCGACTTCGAGGAGATCGCGAGCGTGGGACTACGGAGGCTAAGCGCGGTCTTGCACAAGTATGGGCCTAGACGATCTGGAGCGCGGCACGTCTAAGGAGCGATCTGGAGCGTCGCGCGGCACGTCGGGCACGTCGTCTGGGTGCTCGCCCAGTCCGTGATGCAGTCCTTGCAGAAGCGGTGGCCGCAGACGAGCGCCGCGGTGGCGCCCGTCATCGGGTCGAGGCAGACGGGGCACTCCTCGGGCTCCTCCTCCGGCTCGGGCTCCGGCTCCTGGGGCGGCTCGGGCTCCTGGACGCGCATGCGCTTCTTGGCTCGCGCCGCGGCGAGCTCCTCGATGACGGCGGCGGAGAAGGTCTTGATGTCGATGGCGGCACGATTGCCAATCTTCGGCCGCCGCGCGATCTCGAAGGGGAGGTCCGCGAGGAGTTTATTGTGGAGCTGCGGGTAGCGCTTCTTGGCCGTCCTCGCATCATACCGCGCGCCCGATTCCACCTCACGCCAGCGCTGGTCAACCGTNTCCGGCGCAGCTCGGCGCGCGACGAGCGCGTCGACGTCTGAGGCGAGGTAGGTCTTGACGTCGCGTGCGCCTTGATCGTCGATATTCGGCTTCGTGGCGATCTCGAAGGGGAGGTTTGCGAAGTGTAGCCACTGGAGCTGCGGGTAGCGCTTCATGGCCGTCTTCCGGTCGTAACGCGCGCCCGCTTCGACCTCGCGCCAGCGCGGGTCGACCGGTTCCGGCGCGAGACGAGCCGCGAGCGCGTCGACGTCGGTGGCGAGGTAGGTCTTGACGTCGCGGGGGCCCTTGCAGGGCTTCGGCCGCCGCGCGATCTCAAAGGGGAGTTCATCAAAGGAATGACACGACAGCTGCGGATGGCGCTCCATCGCCGTCGTCTTTGTATACCGCGTCCCCGCTTCGACCTCGGGCCAACGCGGATCAACCGGTTCGGCTTTCGGCGCGGCGAGGCGCGCGACGAGCGCGTCGACGTCTGAGGCGAGGTAGGTCTTGACGTCGTAGGCGCGTTGACTGCCGGTCTTCGGCCGTCGTGCGATCTCGCTCCGCAGGCCCTTGAGCGAATACTCTGTCAGATGCGGGTACCGCTCCATCGCCGTCTTCGCGGTATACCGCGTTCCCGCTTCGACCTCGCGCCAGCGCGGGTCGACCGGTTCGGGCGCGGCGAGGCGCGCGACGAGCGCGTCGACGTCTGAGGCGAGGTAGGTCTTGACGTCGCGGGCGTGGTTACCATGACCGGGGCCGATCTTCGGACTTCGCGCGACCTTGCTCGGCAGGCCCTTGAACAACTGCCGATTCAGCTGCGGAAACCGCTCCATCGCTGTTTTCTCAGAAAGCCGCGTTCCAGCTTCGACCTCGCGCCAGAGGGCGACCTTCGCCTCCATCGCGCCGCTACCGTCGGCTAAATTCTGGCTCCAAGGGCCGGGGCGACAAGAAGAACGCGCGGGTCGACACGAGAGTCGACGAGGGTCTTGTGGATATTTTCTGAGCGGCCGGCGAGCCTCCAAAATCGACGACATCTCCGCCCTCCTCGCCATCGCCGGCATCGCAGGCGCCGTCCGCGACATCGAGGAGACCGCGAGCGTAAGACTACGGAGGCTAAGCGCGGTCTTGCACGAGTATGGGCCTAGACGATACGAGCCCGAGGCGCGGACGCACGAGCCGCACCGCGACGCGCGCTCGCTCGCCACCGTCGTTCACGAGCCTCGCGGACTACGGGTCCGAGTACA